ATTCACTTCCCATCAACTGACCGATTATCATACGAAAACCTGATCTCGTTCAAAATTTGAACGATAAATATCCAAGGTGTGTGGGCACTTTTAGACAGGAAGTGTGTTATTGGCAGGATCACCAGGTGAAAATAAAGGAACAAAATGCAGCCACCATATTTAAGGATTGGCAAGCTGCAATATATAAAAAAATTTGAGTTTAGATATGCTTTAAGGTACAAATGAGCAAATAGACTTTGTTTTAGCATTATGTATAGACACAAAATCTTGGGAATGCTCAGGATCCTAAATGCTACTTAAATATTTTCCTGCACACTGCATTGCATCACTTGCCCCTTCCTTTTAGATCGTAAGCCCTCAGGGGCAGGGCCCTCATTACCATCTTGTCTTGGATTGTATTATCTTCCTTATATTGTAAAGCGTGCAAACTTTTGGAGCTACATAAATCCTGTATAATAATAATATTGTTTTTATTGCATTCACTTGGCATTTTTATATTGGAGGGGAGTGCTGCAAGATCGGCATTTTACATTTTAAATCAGTCCCTGAGTTAAAGATGGTAACATCGAGAAGGATCACAGCTGTAAAATATCGCTACTCTTTTCTTTGTATCAAGTTTTTAAATTCATGCATACAAGTTATAATGTTACCAATATCACAGCCTGACTCTTATTTCTGTTTTATCCCACTCACAGGGCCTGTTCCCACCTTTTTGCAATGTGGTACATGGTGTGATTTGGCACACCGCTTTAGGCAACCTACTGAATGCATGAAAAAATACGTCTTGCTGCATTTTTTGCCGTGTGTTGCATTGCAATATGCTGGGGTGCCCATTCATTTACATCACAATGCACCAGCGCACGTACGCTGGTATACCATGTGTTGCAGTAATACATGCATTTTTTTTTTTTAAACATGTTTTATTTATTTTGAATTTTTGCATAGAATTGTACATAGTATAATGCAGAAAACCCAAAAAGGGTGTACAATATAGATGTAACTGTAGCAAGTTAAGTATGGATATACATGCATTTTTTTAATGGCTATGCATCTGTGCCCTTAAGGTGGCCATACACTTTACAACCATCGCAAGACCTTAGTCTTGCGATGGTTGTAAAGTAATTAAAAAAACGTACGATCTGCCCACCTTGGACAGGCAGATCGTACTCTCGATCATCGCAAGCCCGCCCCCCCCCTGAGGGGCGGGCTTCCGATGACCACAATGCTGAACAGGCAGTGTGCGCACACTGGCCCGTTCGGCATTTGTCTCCCTAGCACCGTTCAAACCAGCCGAAAATCGTATGATTTTCGGCTGGTTTTCTAGCGTGCTCCTTAGACAAAAGACGTGCGACCGTACACTAGAAACGGTCGCACGTCTTCGTTCACACTGCTCGATTCTCGTACGATCGCGGGATCGAGCAGGGTATGGGCACCTTTAGAATGATGGCTTGGAAGGAGTAGCAGAAACCAGGAGCCGAAATGTTCAAGCTAGTGCAGCATCACTAAAATGATAGTTAGAAAAGAGAGCAAATGGTATCATAGTAAAGCAGGATCTCGGATATTACTGGCAACAATAAAATAGCAAACAATGAATCAATTAGCAAGTGATGTTATCCCTGCATGCAATAATTTACAGGGTTACTTTAATACCCAATGTGATTAAATTATCTTGTGCAACACTCACTATCAACAGATAAGAAGAAGAAATTGCTACATGTGGAACACTTGAGGGTTTATGGACTATAAAGGGAACTAGTCACTAATGGACTTAACTAAATAGCTGAATATTAAGTCCTAAATTATTTTAACTGTGTAGTCCCATTTATGGTGTCCAGAGGAAGGTAAAATCTCTCAGGTTACCCAGAGGGTTTACCTTCCTCTGGACACCATAAAGTGGACAGTTTTCCACTATGGGGAAAAAGCATTTCCTTTTTGAGCCCATAAAAGATTTGTGCATTTCCCTGGATTAAAATACTTGCATACTACCCATTACGGTAGTAATCTGATAACTGGATACTGTCAGCTGAAATCATCATAATCATAACAGATATGATTATTATATCATAATAATGATAAAATAATCATATCATGCTTTTTGAAGGAACTCTGTACTGAGACAAATATGTGGCCTGCCGCTAGTGAACTCTTAGGGTGCCCACACACCTTACGATAATCGTACGATAATCGCGGGAAATCCCGCGATCGTACGATTATCGTAAGGTGTGTGGAAGCAGTGCGACCTCTACTACTGTAAGGTCGCACGACTTTAAACTTACGGACATGTTCGAAAACCCGCCGAGCATCGTACGATGTTCGGCAGGTTTGTGGCATGTCCGTACGATAACAGCCGTACGGGCCGGTGTGCGCAAGCGCACACTGCCCATTCGGCATTGCGGTCATCGGAAGCCCGCCCCTCATGCTAAATGGACAGTGTGCCCGTGCGGCTTTTATCTTGCGAACATGCCACAAACCAGCCGCAAATCGTACGATGTTCGGCTGGTTTTCGAACATGTTCCTAAGATAAAAGTCGTGCGACCTTACAGTAGTAGAGGTCGCACGGTTTGCACACTCCTTACGATAATCGCAAGGTGTGTGGGCACCTTTAGTCATGTTGTTCCAATCAGGACTGCACCGAAGGTATTCGCCGCCTAAGCAATGTCGTTTGGAGGCCTTTCGATTGTTGTGCTGATTTGTGTTTGGGCGGGTGGGGAGTGGATGTCGGACCACGCTGTCAGCAGCTCTGTCTGGCATCCCCTCTAGCTCACTGATGTTGCTGGTTGCCAGGAGCTCTGCAGGACGCCAACCAGAGCGTCCAGCTCATCTCCTGGCAACCGGTGACGTCAGGGAGCTCATCGGGAAGCCGCACAGAGCATCACAGCTTTTCCTTCTGCAGCCCCAATACAGAAACTGCAAATCAATACAGAAACTGCTGTGTTTTCATATGCAATACAGGAGTGCATGCTAAAATGCAAGTATCACCAAGGCATAAGTCTGAAGGGGCCCTTTAACACTGTCTGAATCACTGAGCTGGAGCAAGTATGCTTTACCTTCCTCTGGACCCAAACTGCAGGAGCTGGTGCAAGACTGGACTTGATAGACGTGTCTTTTTCACCCTAGTTAAATACTATATGTAACATTCATACAAGCATGTTTATATATATATTCCAAACATAAATTGCCACTATATATTATACACAATTTCAATCGTACCATCCACAAAATACATTTTTAAAAGATGACATTCGCCAGCAGGGAAATCATTTGAGACTTCAGTGCAAGTAAACATTGTATGAAGAAAGTGCAGTTCGAACTAAACCCTTACTTTACCATGCTTATTCCAGGTCAGTGTGACGCCTAACATTCTGAATCCAGAAATTGGCAGAGTGGCTGCATTTTCAGAGGGTGATGAGCACTGAAAATTTCCAGATGACCCACTTAATTGTTATTGATTTGGCCATTGATGTGTTAGTGTCCTGCAGTTTATGCTAGACATTAGATTACTGCTAGCACATATAGAAATAAAAAGCACTAACGTGAAATGAACGAGTCTGACTGATTTGTATGACCATTCCTTTCCTTCTAAGAACTGATCACATCCTTCACTTCATCTATTACCTGATCTGACTGCAACTCATGGAAAAACTGAATTGGTTGCTGCGGGTTATGGCACTTTAGTCTTTAGCATTGTGTTGCATGAAAGCCTTCTAGTGTCTCCTCTACTGGAATAACATGTATAAAAGTTTCAGTTCACTTTTGCAGGATATGCTGCTTGGAAGCTTAATTTAACAGCTTGCGGTAACCCATGACAACCTGGCATTAGCTTTCATTAGGAGCTGATGAAAGTTTATTCTAATTGCTTGCCAAGGGTAACACATCCTAGTCCTTTTTGCATTATATCACTAAACCCACATCATATATTTGTAATAAATATCTAAACTATAAACTGACTCTTTTCAATTTGTAAAGTAAAACATTTTTCTTTTGGAATCTGTACTACCAAATGAAAGGATTTTTGTTTATTTGATGTGAAACAAGTAAAGATGTTGTGTACTGAATATCAGGGATCTGTGCATCGCACATATGCATATTTGTTGACATACAGTGCAGTACAGCAAGCGATATTGTCTTTACAAACTGTGAAAGTGAAATAAATGTTTTATTTGATAGATATATTATTATTATCTGTGTCAAGGAGACCAAAACATTTGCAAAGTTAAAGTATTTCACGCTTTATAGGATTTATTGGATAGTTCACCATATTATGGTTTTTGTTCTGTATATAATATACTGTATGTCTGCAGTGTCGATAGATGATAGATAGATAGATAGATAGATAGATAGATAGATAGATAGATAGATAGATAGATAGATAGATAGATAGATAGATAGATAGTTATATATACATTGCCTTCCAGGCCGCAAAACAGCAACGATCAGCAACAATTAAATAAACTTGGATGAGTTTTCGTCCATCAAAATTAATTTTATTGTCATTTCTATGAAGAGTATAAAAAGCATTCAGAAAACATATTCCCACATCCCGAAAAATAAGTGCAGTCTTGAGGACTTTACCACAGAACAGAGTCAATCGTCTAATAAACTTAGGGCATGATAGAATGTACAGTATATAATTGTATATGTTTAGTGTGTAGCAAATCCTCCTAGAGAAAGTATCAGTAAATCACATCAAATACATGTAATACTCTACAGCAGTAGAATTACAACATATTAACAAAAAGTCGTTACAAAATATAAGTTTCCTTTTTCATCCCATAGGGAATATTAAAAAGGATGATGAATACATCGCTTGTCAAATATTGCAGCTTTTAGTCCATCTTGCAGTTGTAAGAGCTTCAGGGCAGAAGTGTACAAAAAAATGTCTTTATTAATGAGTTGGTGTCTCTCTGAGTTCATTACACAGTAAAGAAGACTGGTACTATCAGCACAATATGGTGGGACATGTGCTGATAGGGTTATAATAAAATACAATCCATACATCATCACACTGCAGGCACAAACCTATCCATGTTCCCTGAGTAGGTGGCATGCCTTAGGTAGGCATTTGTACCTGCCAGCTGCCCGTTACTATTGTAGGCAGTCAATGAAGTGTACTGTCCAGGAGACATCCTGCCATAGAAGTCCATACTATCAGTATTCATCACAGGTGAGGTGGGCATGGGTATTCTGCTAGACGTGCCAAACAGCTGCGCGTTGCTGTGTGTGTATGAATTCTGATTGATTGGCAGATGGCCATTGGGTACTGGGTAGGAGTATGACATTGGGTTGGTGGACCTCTGAAGCATAGAGCTCCCCCCTGCCTGACTGTTGTAACCTGTGCTAGCGTAAGTACAGGAGCTGGAAGTGGTGGAGTTTGCATCTGGGCTCATTGATCTACTGGTCTGCTGCGTATGCTCCGAACCACTGGGGTGACCTATCAGAGTATTAATGCTGAACACTCTGGACTGGCCAGAACTGAAGGCAGGAGATGAAGAGGGATAATAGACGGACGTATGGGGAGCTATCTGCTGGGTATAGGTCGGGCTCATGGTCATGTTGGAATACACAGAGTTTGGATAAGATGGTCTGGAGACTTGTATAGATGGGAACATACTGGTGTCATGTATGTAAGCTGGATACGTGGTTACGTCCGTTCTTTTGAACCTCTTCCTTCTTCTTAGGAAGCTTCCACTGTCAAACATGTCTTCAGCATTGGGGTCCAGAGCCCAGTAGTTGCCTTTCCCAGGTCTGCCTGGCTCCCTAGGGATTTTTATGAAACAGTCATTCAGCGTAAGGTTGTGTCTGATGGAGTTCTGCCACTTCTTGGAGTTATCTCGGTAGAAAGGGAACCTCTCCGTGATGAATTTGTATATGCCTCCAAGGGTCAGCTTTCTCTCAGAAGAATGGGCAATAGCCATGGCTATGAGGGCTATATAGCTGTAGGGTGGTTTGCCTCTCTGCAGGGGTCTTTTCCTTCTCCTTCCCTTTGGAGTCTCCTCTGTTTCGCTCTGTTCAGTGGTCACGCTTGCCTCAGGAGCTGGCTCTCTCTCCACCTTCACAACTGGTATTGTAAAATTATTGGCCTGTTGTAGGTTAGTGCCAGCCCCAGTGGCTCGGGTAGGGGACTGGTGACTCTCTGCTGTCATCCTAATACAGGATTGTCCTCTTCAAAATCACCTTTCCTCCCCAATCAAACTAGCAGGGATCTTCTCAAATTTCTAGAGGTGTATTGTTGTATAATCCCAAGAATCCAGCGAGTGAAAGACCACCAAGCATGCCACTGTTCTATGACCGAGCTTGGGACCTCACCTACAAGTCTGCAATACACGTTTACGGTGCAACCAGATGAGTGCAGGAAACAAAATTCTTCTGTGTTTGTCCTTTGTCAGATACACCGAAAGTCTGTCAGCAGATACACCCGGAAACATGAATAATCCTCACACAGCCTCATACAGAAACCTGCAAAATTAACAACCGAAAGCAGAAAATTACTACAACTTTCATAAGCACTGTTAGAACAAGTTACTTATTCTCAACCTGCAGTATGCGTACCCCCAAGGGTATATCTGATATCTATTCCTTAGGGGACACTTCTGTTTCTTCATAGTCATCGTGCCAGTTCAGCATTTTAAGGAATGGCAAATCATCTATATATAAAGAATTCAGAAAGTAGTCTATGGTTATTTAGAAACAGGGAAACAAGTATTGGCAATAAATGGGTATTGGTAAATGACTATACCCTGGTCAAGTGAGACTAAAGCTGCACCCCTGGGGGTACTGGGTAGACACTACCTTTTATAAATGGGTACATGGCTTTTGCAAATGGGTACATACTTAATTAAAGAGAGGTTCACTGGAATAAGGAACAAAACATTAGCTAACTATTTTGTGGTTTTCCCTGCTGACCTCCTACATCCATAACCAATATTTAAAAAAAATACATTATTTTAATACAAAACAAGTGATCCGATAATTCAATACACGGAAACAGCCCCTTTTCTTGTTATAAAAGAAGTGAAAATTGTATGTAAAATTCATAGTATAATGCATAACCCTTATAAGCAATAATAAATGTTTCATGTCTTCAATTCTGTTATTCAGATTCTCTATTGCTGCACTCTTTTTAGATATTCAGCTCACATCGCTTCAATGCTTTCACTAATTAAAATACATCAGTTAATGCCCAACAAATCAAACAAAATTTAAACTTCTATTCCAGCATACATATTATGAAGCTAAGAGGCAACTTGTAATCTGTAATGTATTCTTCCTTACCTTACAGACAGGTGAGGGGTGCAGTGTGTGCACATAAAAGACTAGGCTAGATCTCCTCTTGTCCCCAGGTACAAAGCCTTATATAGTGGAGCACCTCCTACCTGCACACCTTGATGTCACAATAAGAGTACAATACACATACACGGGAATTCCCAGCCCTTCTAAGCTCACAAAATAAAAGCTCACAGAGTGCCACCCACCTCGTTCTTGTAGCACATTAGTAAGAGGACATTTATGTTATGTCATTAAAACACTGATTAACAATAAACTAAGGTTTCAGGTGTTCCAAAGAAGCCATCAGAATGCATGACAACTTCCAGCATTATAGACTTATTATGCACTTCAATATCCATTTTATGCTGATAATGAAACATGCAGACGCTATTCCTTCCCATCTAAAGGTTCTGATACTTACTGTGTTTAAAGAGAACTATGCATATTGTACATAGAGATGTGTCAGTGCTCCAATAGAGGCACAATGCTTCCAAAAACAAAACAGGGTTATTCGCTGGATTAACATACAATTACATATTTCAAGAAATGTAAATAACCAAAAGTATTTTAAAGAGCAGCCGTTTTCTGTGGATTGTATAGTCTTCAGTAGCATTATATTTAACTTAGAAATATAATTTATTGTTTTGCATCAACAAGGGCTTTACAGGCGAGAATAAAATGTTTTTTTTCTTTCTTTTAGCACTGTATATTTG